GATTGAGTGTTTTGGACCAGGATGCTTAAACCAGTACTACAAATTGTAATTTTATCTTCTATATTAACCTTGGACAAATATACAAAAGAACCATCAGTATGTATGGCTGGGTCCTAATGGCTTCCTTGGGGAGGGGGTGAGAAGGTGTGGCATCATTGGCATAGATACTGGGAGTCAGGCCTGCAGCAGACTCATTTATTTAGCAATGGGAGTGCACGCCTTTAATCCCAGCACTTGGGAGGCAGAGGCAGGCAGATCTCTGGGAGTTCAAGGCTGGCCAGCCTGGTCTACAAAGTGAGTTCCTGGACAGGCTCTAAAGCTACAGAGGAACCCTGTCTTTGGGGGAGGGGAGATGTGGGCCTCCACCTCTTGGCAGTGTAGATACTTCTATATACACATATTTAACCTCTTTCAATGTTCAAAAACACTTTGTTATGGAGAATTTCAAATCTTCCTTTTACTCATTTCAGGCAGTTATACTTTTTCTTCTGTATACTCGCATACAGGTTTGCACGTGCATGTGCATGCTCAATTTCTTATTCCTTTTTATTTTAATATTTTTTACATTTTAATATCCTTTTTTTATTTCTGGAAACTTTTCAGTTGCTATGTCTTCAAATATTTCCTCTGTTCCATCACATCTTCCTCTTATGCATATGTTAAATCATGTCATTTTTGTCCTCCACTGGGAAGAGTATTCTGGTTTCTGAGTTTAACTTCTTTGTTATTTGTCTTGGGCACCTTGAGGTACTGACCACCTCCTTGACTATATTTAATTACTGACAAGCCTGACTGCCTATGTTAGGTTTTTAAAAAAAATGTTCAGCATTTCCTCGACTCTTTCTTTGCATGCTTATCACTCTGCTAGAGTTCAAGAGTTCCAGTTTCAGCAGAGCTTTTCCCCTGAGCCTTGGTTTCCTTCTGACAAATAGAAAAAGCAGAGAGCATACAGTCCCGCTAGCAATGTTTTGAGGATTGTAAAGAAATCATGGATGAAGTGGGAACCTTGGCTAAGACCTGTTCTCTTCCTCCCAAGCTCAGTCTTTGCTGAGGGTGGCTCTACAGGGTCGCTTGCTTCTGTTGCTTCCTAACAGGTAGTGTTTGTGAGAGCAGATGACCTAGCACTCACCGGCAGTCTATTAATCTGTGGAATCTGGGGAAAGAATACAAATCACATTTTAAAAGTGCTGCTGCAGCACATTTTCCTTTGGCTGGGTTTATATGGGATGTTAATTGGAAGAAACAGCATTAAATCCAGTTGTCACTTGGTTACGTCTGTTAAAAAATCATTAAAAAGTTTGAACCATTGGGCTTCTTGGCTCACTCGAAAAATTTCACGGCTCATAACATGTCTCCTCTGCACTTAAAGGATGTTCCGTTATCAGCCTGGTTTCTGAGTATTTGCCGTGTGAAGAATTGCAATCGCTCCATACTGACTGCTTATAAGAAGATTTAGCAGTCTTCCTGGAGTTGACTTTGGAGTCATGGACTTGGGTTTAAAGCCTGGCTGGGGCTGCTTATTTAATGCCTGAGGCTGAGTTTGTTCATCTTTGGAGCCAGGATGGTACCTAAACAGCGAACTGTTGGGAAGAGAGGAGACTGTGTGTTTAGGAATTCCTGGGTAATAAGAAATCAGCCGTTGATAGCATGAAAAGTGGCAGCCAGAATGAAATATACTGCCACCAGATCAATATTTTAATATAACTAAAGGAAAAAGGGAGTTTGGTATTCTTACACCTTTTATGGAAAAGGTCACATTGTAAAGAGAGATTTTTGACAGGAGGGGGTTAAAGTAAAGAGCAAATATTGATGTGTAATAAAAATAACCAGGAATCCACTGCTTTTGAGTGACGGATGCTACTGAGAAGCCCAGCATCCTCTTGTAGGAGTCTCCTTTGTTACAGTGTGGGTGCCACGCTGCCCTTTGGCTTTTCTTCTCTCCCTGGATACTGTAGCTGTGTTTTCTCTGTAACTCCCATCCATACTGCTTGCTTTTCTCCTTTGGGAAAGCAGTAGCTCACAGCAGCAGGAGCTGATGTGATGTTGGGTCTTTGTATTTGTTTGTCAAAGGGAAATCCCTCTGACTTTGTTATAGAAGGAAATCTAAGCATTAGCAAACTGAGTGTTGGTCTGAACGGTTGCAGATAAAGAAACTGCTCTAGTGTGAGGCTTCTGGCCCTCCTGTGCATTCTGTACAAATCATAGTGTTTACTAGAACTACTGCTTTAGAAATTACCATGGAGTAAATATCATGAATTTCAGCCGTCTCCAAATTCTTCCTCTGTGAGTAATTTTACTGCAGTGGGCATTATTTAATTATTTAATACAAAGAAACATTCTTTCTCCTCATGTGGACAGCTGTCTTCCAAAGTACAGACCACAGTGCAGCCATTTAAACAACACAAGGGCTATGTTGTTATTTTGTAGTTGTTTTTCTTGTCAGCCTATGAAAGTGCAATCCTGGTCATGGGTTTGTAGAGCTGGCAGAAACCTAGGAGACCCAGTCCCTCTCATTGCCTGCCACCCTAGGAGAGGAAGCATTTTTCTGAAGTCAGCTAACTAATGACAGAGCCAGGGAGAGGAATCCTCATCTGTTAATGCCACAGTGCTGCGTCTCCCTGCTCCTTCCTGGGTTCCAATGCTAGTTAGTCTTGGGGTGAGGGTTTTTTTTTCCCCATGACTGACTGGTGTTCTTTTGTTTCCTTGTGAGGGTGTCTGGGAACAAGCTAACAGTATTTTCTTTGTAACAATTCAACAGTGTGAGGCATAATGGGGCGTTTGTCTTTAGCAGTTTTAGGAGTAAGAAAGAAATGGTTGTAGCTCAAATTCTTTGCCTTCATTGTTGATAGGCAGCTATTTATTTATTCATTTGTTTGTTTATTATTTATTTGTGGATTATAATGTGTGTGGTGTTTGTGTGTGGACATGGGTATAAGTACGTATGCATGCACGTGCACGGGAAGGCCAGAGTGAACATCCTATGTCTTCCTCGACTACTCTTCATTATATATAAACAATTATAAATATATATTATTTATTTTATTATGCATGTGTATAGGGAAGTGCACGTGCCACAGCGTATGCATACAGAGTCAGTTCTCTTCTCCCGTGTGGATTCTGGGGGTTGAGTTCAGTTCATCACACTTGGGGGCAGGTGCCTTGGTCCACTGGGCCCTCTATCTTCTTTTTTTGACACAGTCTGTCACTGAATCTGGAGCTCACCTGTTCAGCAAGACTTGATGGCAGCAAGTGCCACGGATCCTCCCGTCCCAGTCTGCCCAGCGCTAGGATTTCAGGCGTACACCATTAGAGGCCTCAACCTTTCTTTGCAGGGCACTTTGCCCTGCCTTTTTCTATTTTCGAGATTTATAATATAATCACACCATTTCCCCTTACCTTTTTTCTCCCTCTAAACCATCCCATAACCCCTCCCTACCCTCCTTCAAATTCAAGGCCTTTTTTCTTTGTTATTGCACACATATGTGCATATACATATATTCCTAAATAGAATCTACTTAGTCCACACATGTATGTTTTTAGGAATGACCCTTTGGCACCGGACAACCAGTGATGTGCTCTTCCCTGGGAAAGGCCATCTCTCCCACTCCCAGCTTTCCACAGTTGCCTACAGTTCCTTGTATAGGTTGTGGCCTCCTGGCTTTTTTGAGGCTGCCTTCTCCTTCCCTTTCCTGCTCTGTTTCCAGGACAGGTCGTGAGATTCAGAGAGTTCAGAAGCATGATTGAAAAGGATGTGTGAGCTGACCAAAGAACCTAAGAAAAAATATCGAATTGGAAATCCAGTCAATACTTTGCAAATTAACTTTCAGAGTGCCTCTAGCTCTTTAGATAGAAATCTCTCTGAAGTAGAAATATTTGTCTTTTCTAGGAACACAGTGAAAATCCAAGAATGGTGGTTTAGGAGTTGCTCAGGTCTGTCTAGAAAAAAAAAAACCCGAATATTTCCTTCTTGAATTGTATTAAACTTTGACAAATCTCCCTCTTAAGAATTTATTTGAAGCTGTGTGGTAGTGGCTTATGGCTTTAATTGCAGCACTCAGGACGCAGAGGCAGGCAGATTTCTGTGAATTTGAGGTCAGCCTGGTCTATAGACTGAGTTCACGGCCAGCCTAGTCCACAGGCTGAGTTCCAGGACATCCACTGCTACACAGAGAAGCCTGTCTCAAAAAACCAAAATTAAAAAAGGAATTCATTTGATGGGCTTGCTTCCTGAAAGAGAACATATTGAAAACATGTTGTAATATGTTTTTTTTGTTTGTTTTTTTACTGTCTGGACACATAATGAAAAAGCTCATATAAGTTGAAGAGCATGTTCATTCATTTAGAAAGCCCTTATTTAGAACATATAAAGGTTTAGGCATCATCTCAAATGATGGAAAGTGAGAGTGGGCTGATTGCAGTCTGCTACAGACACAGGCTGCTAAAGAATAACAGTTCAGATCTGGGGATGTAGCTCAATTGGTATAGTGCCTGGTATAGTGTACACCATGCTTTGGTGGGTGTTTTCTCAGTATGCACAATGCCTTCAGTTTGATCCCTAGCATCTCATAAGCCAGATGTGGCGGCTTGCACCTGCAATTTCAATACTCAAGAGGTAAAAGCAGGAGGATCAGGTATCCAAGGTCATCCTTGGCCATATAAGGTGTTCGAGACCAACCTGGGCTACACTATACACTGTCTCAAAAGAGAAATAGAAAAGAAAAGAATAACCGTTCAGTGTGCTACATATTTCAGTGGAGTACCACAGAAACTATCCATATCTCCCGGGGGGAGAGGTGGGACTAGAGCCACTGCAGTGTTGTCTAGGGAACCTAGGGTAGACTTTTACAGAGACACCGCAGATCTTTGAGTTTCATCTTAAAGTTTCAGCAGACATTGTCCAGCCAAGAAAAGGATGTGGGTCAAAATGGTGTGTTTGTACCTTTCCAGTTTTAACTAAAATCAGCACTTACCATGTTCTCTTGCTTTGTATTTTTAATTAGAGCTCCAAGCGAGAATGGAAGCCCTTGGAGGACCGTAGCTGCACAGACATACCATGGCTGCTGCTCTTTGTCCTCTTCTGCATTGGGATGGTAAGGACACTCAGGCTAACCAGCCTCCGCTCTGGATGCAAGGGAATGAGGCAGGAGGGGTAGCTTCCAGCGGATCTCTCTGTGTGTATCTTAATCTCCTCCCTACAGTTATAATTGGGATAATTGGAGGGCCTGAGAAGCCATCAAGGGGGGTTAATTTCTCTCTAGTGCAATTCAGTAGTAGTATTTGGTATTCCCTTGTGTTGAAATAGGAGCGGCAGGGCTGCGTCCCCGGCACCCGGCCGCCCGCATGGCTAGCTTATGCCCGAAATAATTACATGGAAACTGTATTCTTTCAAACACTGCCTGGCCCGGCTAGTTCTAGCTTCTTATTGGCTAGCTCTTACATATTGTTCTAACCCATTTCTAATATTCTGTGTAGCCCACGAGCTGGCTTACCAGGGAGGATCTTAACCTGCTTCTGTCTGGAGCGGGAGAATCATGGCGACTCCTCCACCAAGCCTCCTTCTCCCAGAATTCTCCTCTGTTTTCTCCACCCACCTAAGGGTGGGCCTTATCAAGGGGCCTAGGCAGTTTCTTTATTAATAAGAAATCACTCCCACATCACCCTTGCTATTTTACCTTCTTTTATTTGTCTGTTTTGTTGCATGAAAACTGAGATTAGAAAAGGAGCCAATGAGAGTCTTAGCCCTTTCACCCAATCATTTGAGGAAGCCAGATCATTTGATGCAAGTTTGTAGTCAAGTGTTTCTGTCCCTCCTCCCAGCTCCTAAATCACGACATGGAGGCTTATTATTAATTATGAAAGCTCAGCTGATAACTTAGGCTTGTTACTAACTAGCTATAACTTAACCCATTTTATCAATCAACTTTTTTTCTTGTGACTTTATTACCTTTACTGCCCACGCTGCTTCCTCTCCGTCTTGCTGTTGACTCTATTTCCACACTTCTTCTTCCCAGCATCCTCTCTGCCCCCCAAATCCTGCCTAGCTATTGGCCATTCAGCTTTTTATTAAACCAATCCCAGTGACAAATCTTTGCAGTATACAAGAAGATTATTCCACAGCACCGGTTTCTTTGGAATCTTATCTTGAATGGTTAGTTGAGGATGCTGAGTACCAACTCCTCCAGCCATACAAGCCTCCTGGTTATTTTTGGGCCTGTCACTTCTTTTCCCAGAGACTTGGCATGTCTTTGGAATTGTGAGTGTTTAGCTATTCAATATCCACCACACTTTTGAGTTCTCACAGTTTGAGTTCTTCCTGCAGGGGAAGAGGCTGCCCAGTGCTTTTTTCCCTCAGGTCAGCCCCTAGGCCCACTGTGATGGGTGGCATCTCTCTGGAAATCAGGATGTTGGTAGAGAGGACGAGGAGCAGAGTCTCGGGGCAAGGTGCTGAGCATGCTGCCTGCCGGCCTGGGTTCTGGATATAGGGATTCATATAGGCAGGGTGCTAGGCCCCAAAATGATTGACAGCTGGGTTACACTGACCGGTGTTTGGAACCTTAGAGGGCTTATAGATTAAATTTCAAACCTATTGAGGAAGACTCTCAGGCCACTTGGCTAATAAATGGAAGAGCTGCTCGCCCAGCTCTGTGCTTGGTCAGCGTTTTTTAGCACCCCTTCCCTCTTCATCAAGGGAGCTCTTGTTTATAATGAGAACTAAGCCTGATTAAGTACTAAGTACTGATTATCCTAGAGGCTTGCTTATCTCCACTGCCTTCTGCTAGGCCCCTTCCTCCTGACAAGTCTTCCGGAGACTTCTGGATTGCACGTGTGGAACCACTAGAGGCCTCAACCTTCTTCTTGCAGGACACGTTGCCCTGCCTTTTCTATTTTTGAGATTATAATATAATCACACCACCTCCCTTTTCCTTTTCTCCCTCTAAATCTCCTATATCCCCCTCCCTACCCTCCTTCAAATTCAAGGCCCCTTTTCTGTTGTTATTGTATACATATCTGTACATACATATATTCCTAAATATAACCCAGTTAGTGCTTCGTTCTCCAATTCTTAGTCTTCCACTCAGCATGCAATCACACTGTCTTGAGCAGCCTTGGTGTTGTGATCTGTATTTTTGGCCCCATCTTCCCGCATTTTCTATAGAGGTTCTTTTGGGAAGTGTTGGTTTTTGTCTGTAATGAAAGTTGTCGGGATTCCTTGGCTCTCTGCACACCGCAGACATCATCTGTGACGCATAGCTAGTAGCCACAGATGTAGGTACAGTTCTAATCCCCAGCAGAGGAAAAGAAAACAATACATTTGAATGAGATACGATAAACTTAGGAACATAAGGAGTGTTTGTTTCAAAGATAAAAAAAGTACAGTTTTACCACATTTAGGACACATAGATAAAGTCAGAATACTAATTTCCGAACTCAGGCCTTCTGAGGTACCATTCAGGAGTTTGCTCAGTTCAGAGGACTCACTTCAGAAGTTCAGCATGTATGAATATTCACAAGGAGCACAGAAAGACTGCCTACTGAAGTCGGTCCACGGCTTTTCCACACCCAGTGTAACCACAGAGCAAATAGCAACTGACCTTCAGAATTATGTCTGAAAAACATGTGCCCTGCCACCCAAGGTGCTTTTGATTTTCTGTGCTCGAGTAGCCCTGGAAAGTGCAGTCATTAATGTTGATGGACTGACTGGGGGCGACTTGAGCTTAAGGGGCTGTTTATTGCGATGTTTTAATGCAGCAGTAGTTAATATGATGCCGATTTCATCGTGTTGGTAATTAAGACCCACCGTGTGTGCTTTTAAATATGGCACGGCTTTCTTTGTTTTGGAGTGAATCTTTAAATAGTTGCTTTCCCTTGGAACTGAGCTGATGTCACATCTCGCCACGAAAACATGGAAGTAATCTAAAAGTTCTGCTGCCCATCTTGTATGCATAGCTGAGGTTCATAGTTTTTGCTTCTGGTTTCTGGGCTTTGTTTTATATGTTTTTTTTTTTATTCATCCCCTTTGAATTTCATTCTGTGGTATATCATATCCCAGATGCTCAGGGTTCAAAGTGTTACCCATTCCAAAATTTTAAAAGCGTTTGGATGGCTCACCAGACAAAGGAGCCTTGTGCCCAACCTGATGATGGAGTTTGAGCTACCTGACTCACATGGTGGAAGGAGAGAACCAATTCTCTTCAGTTGTCCTGTGACCTCCCTGTGCATATGTGCACACAAATATAAAATGTAAAATTTGATCATTTGCAAATATATACAATGAGATGAAGTATCTTGGGGATGGAACCCAAGTCTCAACAGAATTCCTTCATGCTTCATGTATATCTTATATCCATACGCTGCAGGCAGTTTTATATAGTTTTGGCTACAGCTCATCACAGGAGGTCATTCGTGGAATTTTCCACACATGGCTCATGCTGGTCCTCAGAAAGTTCCAGATCTTGAAGCATTTTAGACTTCGGATTTTCAGATTAGGAATGTTCCATCTGGATTCATTTTTGTTCTTCAAAAACTTTAGCAATGTTTTTCTTCATTAGCTTTAAAATTATTATTTTATTTTGTTTGTATCAGTGTTTTGCTTGCATGTGTATTTGTGTGCCACACATGTACCTGGTGGCTGTAGAAGTCACAAGAGGGTGTCAGGTCTGGAACTGGAGTTACGGATGGTTGTGAGCTGCTGTATGGGTGCCGGAAATTGAACCTGGGTCCTCTGCAAGAGCAACGAATGCTTTTAACTGCCGAGGCCACCTCTCCAGTTCCATCTGGAATTTTAAAACATAACACTCAACAAGCATCTGTTGAACATTATTAGTCTATGTTCAGATTTTCTTTTAAGTAGCTCATGTAACTGAATTATCCAGTAAGATAAGGGTCTACACCAGTGTGTGAGCAAGGTATAGTGATGGTAAGTATTCCAGATTCCTGTTTTCAATTTTCCATATTGAAAATATTCTATTTTCAGCCAGGTAGTTCTCACTTCTACCTATATACGACCATCATCCAGAATTTATTTTGAAGTCTCATCCCTCAGCTCTCTATCAGTGAGTGTGCCAGATCCCTGGGGTGCTGTGACCCGCCAGGGTGGAGACCCTGCTTGGTGCTCTGACTAGTGACAGGAAGGGTTTGTGAGGATGTGACATTACTGCGTTGAGAAGGTGGCCTGGGGACTAGAGAGGCAGCTCAGCGGCTAAGAGCACTCACTGACTGTTCTTCAAGAGGACCCAGGTTTAATTCCCAGCACCCACATGGCAGCTCATAACTGTCTGTAACTCCAGCTTCAGGGCAATCCAACATCCTCACACAGACATACATAAAGGCAAAATACCAATGTACATAAAATTAAATTATTTTTAAAGGTGGCTTGAAAGGTGGAAGAGATTCTAGGTTGAACACTTTGGAGTTTAAGGCAGAAATCCAAATGAGTGGTGTGAAACTCAAAAGGCAGTGCTTTCAAAGAGGAAAGGAAAGAGGTGGAAAAGTAAGTAATTAGTGCTGGGTTGTGGTGGCGCACGCCTTTAATCCCAGCACTCGGGGAGCAGAGGCAAGAGGATCTCTGTGAGTTCAAGGCCAGCCTGGTTGACAGAGCGAGTTCCAGGACAGGCTCCAAAGCTACATAGAGAAACCCTGTCTCAAAAAACCAAAACAACAACAACAAACAAATTTAGGAGTATGTAAGTAGTCTGCCCAGTGGATACCGTGACACAGAAGTGAAAGACAAATTAGCCCATTCTGAGGCCTTTTCTCTAGTGGTTCTGGGTATAATTTTTCAGCTCAAATCCTAACCTGTTTCTCCTAGAGTCCCAATCATGCTTTCTGTACCTACCAGAAATAGGCACCAAATTTTATGCCCCCCACAAACCATTCCATGGTAAAAATGACTTGAACCAGCTAAAGGGCCTGATAATCTAGGACCCTTACACTTTATCCTCTTGGGGATATACTCTTTTTCATATGCTACAAAAAATGCGTATTGAGTACAGTTTCCTAGACTTGTCAAACATTGTTTTCTTCCTTTTAGAGCAATGAATCCTATTAAACTTTAAAGGAAGCCATAGATTTGGTGTGCTCACAGAAGCTTCATCTGCACAGGCATACCTTTGTGCCAGGCCTTCTATTCTGACTTATCCGCCAGATCCCAGCATCCTTTCTCATCCAGGATTCTTGGAAGAGGACCTCCAGACCCAAGTGCCACCCTGCTGCTTTAAATGTGTGTTACTGGGGGGAGATCGACTCTAGCACTGATTGCCACTTAGGATGTGATGGCGTTTGAGAAAGAGCTAGGGGTATTGCCGTGAACTGCTGGGACACGGCTAGCCTGTCACTCATTTCCCCTGCTTACTATTTTTGCCACATTTTTTGGCATATTCACGTCCTCCTCCTACTCACCTCAGGTTTTGTTGAGCCCCCACCCCCACCCTAGTGAAGACCATCTGCTCTGCTCAGTTGCCTAGTTAAATCAAGCGTGCACACGACAGGAACACGTAGCCTGGTGGTGCACAAGTCTAAGCAGAAATTCGTATTTAGGTAACGCTAGCCCTTAGAACAGGAGCAAGCAGCACCGTTTTCTCATTTGCAAGTTGTTCTCTCATTTCAGTGGTGGATAGTCAGTAGCCAGGTCTTGTCTGCGACCCCCTGCCCCTTAGCTCTCTGTACCTGGATCTGCTTTTAGTCACCGAGTTTTGTGAGTGGTCTGGCTGTGCCTCTCTGCACAGTAGTCCCCAGAACCCTTCAGTAGCTCGGTCAATCAGCATGCTTCCCTTACTTAGTAATAGTGACTGTGTCTCGCTCAGCATTGACAAAGGCTCTCCTGTGGTGTGATTTCTTTCTGCTGGGCGCCTTTTCCCTCGTCTTTCTGGAAAGCCATTAAAGTATTGAGTGTGTTCTGGAAAGTCTCTCCCACCCTGTTTTAATTTCATGTACTGTTTTTTTTTTTCCTCTTCTGAAATGATATTGTCGCCTGCATTTGAATTTTAGTGTTTTCTTTTTTTTAAAGAGATTGGAATTTTAATTAGATTGGGCCTTGTTCTGCATCATCTTGCTCTTATCAAGCAGGAAGTCTCTAGGATAATAGTCATTGTTTCTCACCTCTTAGTGACTTGCTACCCACCCTTACCTTACCCCGTCTCACCCTTGCAGCTTCTCATAGTCTCTGCTGTAGTACTTCTGGAAGCTTCTAGGAATTTTAAATGACCAATGTGAAAATATGACAGTGTCCCAGTTTGGCATATGAATATACATATACATATATATATAATTACACACATATATTTCTCACATAATTTATGCCCTGTCACATCCCTGAGGTGGCGTATGGTGAAGAGGAGGAACCCATAGTATTGAACAGTACTGTTGAAAAAAAAAAAAAAAAACAACCAGGAAGGGAAATCAGAAACCCTTTGAAGGAATCCTAACAAAATTTCTATCAAATGTTGGGAAAAAAAAAAAAAAAAACCTCCTATAAATAGTGAAAGAAGAACATAACCTTCTAACTAACCACTCTGCTGTTCCGGACTAGTGAAGAAATTTCGTTGTGACCCAACAGTGCTTTTGTGTGACGACAGAATTACCAGCGTTATTACTCATTACCCCCACCTCGCGGAACCTTGTTCTGTCACGGGGAGCAAAGGGGGGGGGTTGTCACTTCTTGGTTCTGATGTCAGCCTCTGCGGACTGACTTCATCGGTCAGATTTACTCCTAACGGCTCCTGTGTATCGATCACCCGCCAGGTAGCAGGCACTTAGCCAGAGACTGGATCTGTGTCGTCGCGTTTAGTTCTCCCCATCATGCTGAGGGACGGGCTGCTCGCTGTTAGAGATGAGGAGAGCAGAATGGGTGCTGGTGATTGGATCAAAGGCTCCCAGGTAGTAATGTTAGGGGGAGTCCATCCACTGTACTTATTCCCTTTGTTACACCCTGATCTTTCTTGGTATCCTTCCCTCACTCTATAGCAAGCGCTCGAGACAGCCACCTTATGAAGTGAAAAGGTTTATTTTGACTTGAAGTTTTAGAGCGTTCAGTCTGCTGCTTTGGGGCCAGTGCTTGGCCCCTTGTGATAGGAACATGGAAGAGAGCAGAGTCACCTCATGCCCTGACAGTGAGAGATTATGAAGCAACAGCCACTGCCTCACAGTCCCACAGAGGCATTGTGTAGCCTGAAGACATGCCGGGCTGGCTTGTTACACAGCCATACCCACCCAGTCACGTCATAGGCTCATAGGTTGCGGACTTTGAACACAGATTTTTGGGAGACATTTTGGATCCAAATGATAGAAAAATTCTCCATTGTAGCCTCTGTATTTACCCTCACTTAGGATCTTGCTCAGCACACAGCATCCTAATTAGGATTTGAAGCATAGGATGAAGGGGGTCTGCTCATTTGAATATGTGTATGTGTATATAAGGGTAGGGCTTTTTTTTTTTTTTCATGTCATAGTATTGGTTAAGTCCAGGGGTGACACTTAGCATGTTAAGTGTCCAGTGTTAAGAGGAGTTGAGAGGGAGCAGGGTACAGGGGGAGTAAAAGTGACAGCTGACAAGCCAGGCCTTGCATCAGTGCTGGCCACTCAGCTATTGATTCAAGGGAATGGGATGCTGGCATTTACCATGACACATGCCTCACATGTATTGTCTCTAGTATGTCTTAGGACAGCCTTTGGGTTGAGTGATTTTAATCCCACTTAGTGGATGGATAAACTGAGGCACGGAGGACTGAGTAAGTTTGACCAAAGTCATACACATAGAAAATGACATCATCAGTGACCTTTGATAATGCACGCCTATGTGACTCCAAAGCCCACAGTCTTTCCCTCATCCATGCCCTGGGTTCCTAATATCAGTATAGGAGCTATTTATGAAGCTCTCACTACCATGATCTTTAATCCCTACCCAGCTCAAGGAGCTACATACTCTATGCCTATTTGTCAGGTGAGTAAACTGAGGAAGAAAGTCGATTGAGTCCCAGACTAGAAAATTCTCAGTCCACTTTCTGACAGAGTATGCTTTTAGAAGCTTCCGCTGAATAGAGCTGCGCTTGCATCTCTCACTATCTGTACAAAGTCAGAAGAGCTATCTGGAAAAGAGAGTTTGTAGATTTGTAGGCTTTTTGGGTAAGTATGCGTAGTGGGGAGAATGCTTTTCTCTGAGGAATTGCTTGAGACTGGAGCATGCACCTCTGCAGCCTGAGATCCAGCGGCACCATTGAGGAAAGAATTGCTGGTGACTGTCTCTGCCTTCATAACCTGATTAAGAATAGCAGAAGTGAGTCCTCTCGATGGCCAGGCCACCCCCTCTCCCCGTGTCCGGTGCAGCCAATGTATCAGCCATCGCTGATCTTACTTGCTGTTCTTGTGCCTGTTATGCTGTGGCGGCCTTTGGCTTCCCTTGCGTGGTTGTGATCAGCTCATGTCTGACCCAGCAAGCATGATGTGGTCCCTAGTGTCTACCATTTGCCTTTGGGACCAGGAAGAAGCATATTCCCCGGAGATAAGTGACCTTTACAGTCCATGAAGCCAGTGGCCCACTCTCCCTCCACTCACTCTCCTGTATCAAGAGTGAGCTTCATGATGTAAGTCTTGGCCCTTATGCAGCTTTGTTGCAGGAAGTGAAGTGATGATTCAGACCTCACAGCCTGTTGCTCTCTGGATTTTAACCCCCTCTGTATCCTTTGTTATTCGTTTAACAGAGCTCTTTTATGACCAAGGAAAACTAGTGAATGACGACAGCTGACTTTGATTCTACATACTTGATCTTTACTAGCTTTTGTGGCCTTGGATAGTGTATGTAACCTCCCCAGGAGAATTGGAGAATGTTTGATAAATACCCTGCATGCAGCCTGGCTCAGAGCAGGTGTTCAGTGTGGAGGCACTGCCACGAATGTCACAAAATGCAAAGGCGATCCTAAGAGATGGAAGGTTGGGATTTGTTTTGTTCCAGAAGCAAATGGTATTCCCCTGTGGACTTCTTCATGCTCTTCCCATGCAGACCAAGGAAAACAGTGTAATAGTGTTTGCTATAAGGAAATATAGCTCTTTGTTCCCTTCAGCAGACAAAAGAAGCTCATTATCATATCAAGTAGTGACTGTTGCTACTGAAATGGTTTATTTGTGTGTGTTTTTTCTGTTTTCTTTCCTAGGGATTTATTTGTGGCTTTTCAGTAGCAACAGGTGCAGCCGCCAGACTAGTGTCAGGATACGACAGCTATGGAAATATCTGTGGGCAGAGAAATGCGAAGCTGGAAGCAATACCAAACAGTGGCCTGGACCACACCCACCGGAAGTGAGTAGACCCTTGCATGATGGAGGGAGGGAAGTACAGGAAGGCATGCTTTCTTTCTACCTTAGAAAGCTATGGAATAGTTTATAAACTTCTTATAAAAGGGGTTTTGTTGTTGTTGTCTTGATGTGGTATTTAATCTCTCCTGCTTTCATTTAACAAATACATTCTCCAAGGAACAAAATTAATACCTTGTTAATGGGCCAACATGAAGTTTTAGTGGATAAAGAAAGCCCTGATTTGAAAGGGTCCCTCTAGTGCTCTGTCTTCCCATTAGCTTTTAGGTTATGTTCTACCCCTTTACCCAGAAAGTAAGGTAATGTTTTCCTTGTTAAGGTTGTACTTCATGTGAGCGGGTGTGTGTATCGTAAAGGCTCATTGTATATACATATGAAACTTTTCAAAGAATCAATAAATTTATTAAAAAATAAAATAGTTTAAAAATAAAAAGACGTAGATAACATTGTGGTTAGAAGATGCTAACCAAGGCAAAAGTAGAAAAAGAAAAACAACATGCAAAGATGGTACACAGTAAAAGAGAGAAGACAGACTTTATTTGACCCTTATACTATGTCCATGCTTGCATGGAAAAATAATTCTGGCTCATAGTGCCAGCTATTAGGTGCTGCGAAAACTTAAGACTATAGGCAAAGAATTCAATGGAACTAGACTTTAAATCATAATCCTAATAGAGCTTATAATCTAAATAGGATAGGGATTTTTCATACATAAAAGTTGGTTACCCTCAAGTTCTGTAATCAGAGTACTAACGTGAATAATTAATCCTTAAAATTTAAGGACTAATGTTCTGGAATGTACAGTACATGGAGCTGTAGTAATAAATCTTCTAATGGTCCAAAAAAAAAAAGGTTGTACTTCATGGGAGACGGGTTAGATGACAGTGGATATCCAAGCCTTAAAGTTCCAAAGTAATACTTTGTGATTGCATCATTTATGAGTATATAAGCCTTTCCAGTTCGAGAAAAGCTGTGTCTTCTTTGACAGACTGTAAAATTTGCTCTGGGTTCTCACAGTTCATCTTTAAAATTTACTGAAACTCCTGACTTTAATTGTTCTTTTTCTTCAAGAGCTATTATTTCATTTCTAATGTCAACGAGGACAATGTATTTAATCCAGTAAACGCATTGTACGTATGATTGCTGTATGGTCTTTTTTCATTCTTCAGACTGTGAGTGAATGAATATACCATCAAACTTCATTATGTTATTTCAAGTCAAACCAGGTCTTCAGAATTAATAAAATTATTTGCAAGATAACAAGGCTAATTAGTCTAATATACTTTATAGGAAAAGTCAGATCAGAACATTTTGAGGTTGTAGCAGGCAACTGCCATGAAGACAATTTGTAACAACTTATTGTGTGAATCTGTTGGCTGAATCTTGACCCCTTCTGTATAAAGTGAACTTGATGATTTCACAAACTTGAAGAACTTTGAATAGTTAGCCTTTCTTAGACAAGTTCTCCCTCTAATGAGGAAGAGGTCAAATAGGTGAAATAAAGTTTTAAGAAACAACAATTAATGTATGTGTAGCGTCTCACAGTTGACAAGCATTTACTACTCTGTGATGCAGGAGTAACAAAGGCTTCGACAGGCTCAGGCAACTGCCTAGGCTGAGTGACTGTGAGCATCTTTCCTGACATGCACTGGCATCCTGCATCCTTTGAGAGGAGAGGGGACAGAGTCTTGGCAGTTGAGAAAACGGGTTTATTTCTGCTTTTTTATAAATTTGCCTCATGAAATTAATACACGTTTCAGACTTTGGGTTAGTTTTTGTACTGAGAGTACCTCTATCTTTTTCTTTGTGGACTTTTTATTTTCAAATAATTTTGAACATGTAGAAGTTGAAAAGCATCAATAGCACCTGTGTCATAAGATGCCCTTAAAGTCCCCAATACTGTTAAGTGGACCAAGTATATGATACTCTCAGCTGGGGGCATAGGAAGGAGAGGGTCTCTTACTTCAGCCCACTGTCCTCATGTTTCCCTTCATGACTTGCCTGTGATTCTGAACACGAATGTGCCCTAAGACATGCAGGTCCCACTCTCTACATTTAACCCTGTGGTGTTCATCAGCTTGGGCAGGGTAGGGGTGGGTCAGATTCTAAACCTTTTGAGCTTTTTATATACACATTGGCCTCTGGTAAATAAAAAGCATATATTATTCTGAGAAGACTCATTTTCTGTGACTATTTTGCACAGTCAAAAGCCATTCGTGTTTAACTATAGGGAAAATGGGTTTCCAAGTAATTTTTTCTTAACTCATATGCACATATTTAATATGTATTTTTGTGTCCTTTTTTTTTTTTTTTTTTGAGACAGGATCTACTTGTGTAGCCCTGACTGGTCTGAAACTCTCTATGTAGACCAGACTTGAAATCACAGAGATATACCTGCCTTATCCTCCCCAGTGCTGGGATTTGAAGGCCTGTGTCATCATGCCCACTTAGGTATTTTTAACCCCTGCTTCATCTCCTCTTCACCTTTTCTGTGTAACCTAGCCATACATTTCTGTCTCTAAGTGGTGATGATTTTCACGGCTGGTAGAATCTTAGATATCCACTTTCAGGTTAGTCTGCCTATTTGAACTGTGACAAGCAGGCAGCATTCTTTATATTAGCTTTATTTCACTCCTTTTCCTGCCACGTGCAGTGGACGCCCTTGTCTGTAGCCATTTCGGTATTTCCACAGTTAAACGCAGCGCTCTCATCCCTGGGCTGTAGGCTGGCACTCGATTGCTTTCTCCTAACTTTCATCTCAAGGCCGTACCACAGCTCCTGGTCCAGCGGTGCTCTCATCCCTGGGCTGTAGGCTGGCACTCGATTGCTTTCTCCTAACTTTCATCTCAAGGCCGTACCACAGCTCCTGGTCCAGCGGTGCTCTCATCCCTGGGCTGTAGGCTGGCACTCGATTGCTTTCTCCTAACTTTCATCTCAAGGCCCTACCACAGCTCCTGGTCCAGCGGTGCTCTCATCCCTGGGCTGTAGGCTGGCACTCGATTGCTTTCTCCTAACTTTCATCTCAAGGCCCTACCACAGCTCCTGGTCCTCCTTTGGTGATCATATCTATCTGTTGAATCATGCGACAACAACACCTCTGACATTCGTTCATGAGTGTTGTCTCTTCTGTTACGAAATTCTTTTCCTTCCCATTTTCCATGTGGCTAAATTCTCCTCATCCTTCGTCTCTCTCAGCAGAAAGGTCACTATCCAGAGAAGACGCCTTTGGCTTCACAAGTTAAAATGTAAGACTTACATTCTACCTACCAAATGAAAAAGCACCTATCACAATTTTAAATAACCATTTGAAAGCAAGTCTCCTTGTGGCCTGTAATATAAATAATTCCACGTGTTTCTTGACACTTTGTCTTTCCAGGATGCTGTGAAAGCCATAGGCCTGCTCTTTCCAGCATTGGATCCTTAGATTCCAGCCCAGTGTCAGGAATGAAGTAGGCAATCCATGCAACTCTTGCTGAATGAGTAAATGAGTTCACTCTAAGGAGTGAATTACTGAGTTTGAGGGTCTGAATATTTCAGGATTATTAATGCATATTGCTGAATGACTCTCCATAAAGACTGTTGCATTTACATTCCCACCAACAGTGTCTGAGATTGCTTTATCTTTGTTAGTATTATTAGGTTTTATTCTTTACTAATTTGATAAATCTTAGAATAGTGCTTTATAGCTTTAATTTGCATGCCTTTGGTTATTAGTGTGAGTAAAGCCCCTCCCCCACGCGTTAGCCTCTCGTGAAGACTACTGTGCTTAGCATATCTATTCTTGGTCTTCTTATCTGTAATCAGCTCCATCCTTTATGCTGTGATAGGATTAAGTTCTTGAAAATAGGGCTTTTATTTTGCCATTTTCCTCTTCAAGAGCCTTTGCTTTCCTGCTGCGGTCTATAGTGTCAAAGATGAGCCCACTCAGCCCCTGTCCTTGCAGGCCTTTTGAGATCTGGACCCATTTCACCTACCCAGCCCTCTCCCACTGTTCCTCAGTGTGATGTTATTACTGTCTCTGGCATTTGACTGATTCCACTTTTGTGCTGTTCCTTCTGCTCGTCTGCTTCTCTGAAGCTTTGAAACCCTTACACCAGGTCTCCCAGCTGACCTTTTTCTGAAGTGTTTCGGAATAACCCTGTCCCGTAGTAAGTCTCCCTTTACCGTGGTTGCCTGAACCTTCCTGTCTCATACTCGTTATCCTGTTGCCTTCAATTTGCTCTCTGATTACATTGTGTTTCTCACGTGCATTACTTATTGGTTGCTAGGTAACTGTAGTATTGCAAACTTAGTGACTTAAAGCAAGACACATTTGTCTCGTCAGTGTCTGTCTGTCCAGAAGTCCAGGTGTAGATTGTGGGGGGTGGGACTTGACTCCATCAGAACAGCAGAGAAGCATCTAGAGAATCTCCTAGGACAGTGGCGGTTACACCCCTGTGCGGTGCAGTAGGAAGGAATGTGACAGAAGAAAGCTGCTCGCCACATGGGAACGACTCCTGTATTTGCTGTCACCGTGGAAGTCATGGACGCCAGTCATCCTTGCCATATTTGTGCTGGTGAGGCACAAATTTCAGCTCTCACTCAAACTCACGGAAGAAAGAATTACATAAGGACCTGAACAAAAGAATCAGGGGTAAGGGAGGCCTCTTGGACTCTCTCATGCACTGCCACGCCCTGTCTTCCAGGAAGCAACATTTTTTGTAGCGCTCAGATCTGAGTACTCCTGTTCCTAGATGGGGGTTTATTTATTTTGTAATTATCACAGGAGGAAAGCCAGGCGAGAGGTGGGAGAAGGGGTCAGTTCTGTCTCATTTTAACCAAATGTTTAAGTTGCCAAGATGACTGTAAGAATGTTCTTACTAGAAGCTGGGCAGTTGTGGCGCACGCCTTTAATCCCAGCACTCGGGAGGCAGAGGCAGGCGGATCTCTGTGAGTTCGACGCCAGCCTGGTCTACAAGAGCTAGTTCCAGGACAGGCTCCAAAGCT